ATATAATCCTACCAGTTGAATCTGATACGCTATATTCTAAGATAGTGCTTGCAACATGAACTAAGCAAACATTAACTAGCCCAGAATGGGCATGCCAGCTACAAACTTGTTCACTTGTTCTGACCTCAACATCATAATAAGGTTGTTGGACAGGTAACAAACTACACAAGTGGAATTTGATCTGCCAGAGGGCAGCTTGGCCATAGGCCGCTTCTTTGTATTAATAGAAGTAGCAAACTTGGGATACAAGAAGGTCTCAACTACTACAGCATATTCTACTGCATAAAGCAGATGCTAGCTTGGATGTTAAGTCATCTGAAAACTACTAGACAGTGAATAGTAACTAGCCTAGATAGTGAATAGTAAATAGGTAAAACTAGATACATTGGGGTATTAGCACTAGGCTTAACCCTCATTTCTCCCCCTTAGGCTTGTGCTCAACTTTGGGGCCGATCTGCTTCAGACCAATCCTCTCCCTCATCTCCTCAAACTTGGCCTTGCCCAGGGACTTAGTGAGAATGTCTGCAAGCTGATCAGTGGTTGGAATGTGTTCGGCCTTGATGCTTCCATCTTCCAGGCAGCTTCGGATGAAGTGGTACTTGATCCTGATATGCTTGCTCCTTTCATGGAAGACTGGGTTCTTGGCCAAAGCGAGGGCTGACTTGCTGTCCACCTTCAGCTCAACCACCTCGACATGCCTGCCGAGAAGCTCTGCTAGCAGCCTTGACAGCCACAGAGCCTGTGTTGCAGCAGTAGAGGTGGCAATGTACTCAGCTTCGCAACTTGAAAGTGCCACCACCTTCTGCTTGATAGATTGCCAGCTGACCAAGCAATTGCCGAGGAAGAACATCGTTCCACTCGTGCTCTTGCTCGTGTCAATGTCGCCGGCGAGGTCGCTGTCGCGGTAGCCGACAAAGCGTGCGGTGCCAGGCGCCTTGGTGAAGTGCAGACCGAAGTCGAGGGTGCCAGCGACATAGCGGAGGATGCGCTTGACAGCCTGTTGATGCTCCACCGTAGACCACTCCATGAACCGGCTGACGAACCCGACGGCGAATGCCAGGACTAGGTGAGTGTGCACCAGATAGCGCAGACTGACGATGAGGCGCCGGTAATGCGTGGGGTCGACTTCGTCCGCCGTGCTGTGCCTGCTAAGCCTCAGCCGTTCCTCCATTGGAGTGTGGGCAGGGTTGCAGCCAGCCATTCCGCCAAGCTCCACAATGCGCTTGGCGTAGTGTGTCTGGCGGAGGATGATGCCATTGGCATCTTGGCACACTTCGACGCCGAGGTAGAAGCTGAGGAGGCCGAGGTCACTCATGTCAAAGATCTTCATCTGTGCCTTGAACACCTCCACTTCACGTTCCTCCGCGCCGGTGATGATGAGATCGTCGACGTAGACGCCGACGAGCAGGACAGAGCGCCCACTGCCCCGCCGGTACATCGCCGCCTCATGAGCGCTCTGCTAGAAGCCCATGTCCTTGAGCGTGGCGTCTAGCTTTGCGTTCCAGGCGCGCAATGCCTGCCGCAGGCCGTAGAGAGCCTTGAGGAGGCGGTAGACCTTTCCTTCTTCTCCAGCGACGGCGAAGCTAGGCGGTGGCTGCACATACACCCCTTCCTTGAGGTCGCCGTTGAGGAAAGCGGATTTCACATCCATGTGGTGGACGCACCAGCCTTCTTGAGCCGCCAGCGTGAGGACTCTGACTAATTCCATGCGCGCCACGGGAGCGAACGCGTCGAAGTCGATCCCCTCTTGCTGCACAAAGCCGCGCGCCACCAGTCTGGCCTTGTGTTTGACACCGCACCCAGCTCGTCTTTCTTGAGCTTGAACACCCATTTCAGGGTGATGGGGTGGTGGCCAGTGGGCAGCGGCACCAACTCCCAGGTGCGATTCTGCTCCACGGCCTTGATCTCTTGCTCCATCGCCGCCTGCCATGCCGGATCATCCTTTGCCTCGACAAAATTGGCAGGCTCACCGCGTGCGATAGGTGCAGCTCGGCGAAGAGACGCTGCGACGGTGGAGGTGGAGGGTGATCGCCGATGATGTTGGTCATCGTGCGGTAGCGTAGCGGTTCGTCGTCGTAGTAGGCATCGAGTCACTATTCATCATCCTCCAGAGGAGTGGCGAACTCCACTTGATCACCGGTCACTGCTGCTGCCGCCGGTGAGGTAGGTGAAGGAGTAGGGGCAGCAGGGGATGGAGGTGGTGGTGTTGGCGAAGTCGGTTGGGGTGCTGGAGGAGTAGCCGCAGCTGCCGATGTCCCTTCGGGCTCCCCCGAACTTGGTGACGGCGAGTGTGGCGCTGACGGCGATGGCGCTGGCGATGTAGTTCCAGCCGCCGCCACCAAAGCACTCTGTGCTCCCCCTGCTCCTTCAGGCCACCAGTACTCGACGGTGAAGTCACTCGCCGCCGAGGCTGAGCTGCCAGCGTCCGGAGTGGACCAGTCCCAGCCGCGCCCCTCGTCGAAGACGACGTCGTGGGGACCTTCACGCACTGCGTCACCGGGTCCAGGATGCGATACGCCTTCGCTCCTTCTGCGTACCCGATGAAGACGCCGGGCTTGCCACGGTCATCGAGCTTGCGGAGCTGGTTCAACTCCTTTGGTGTAGGCGACGTAGCTGAAGTGGCGCTGGATGCCCTCTCCGGCGTAGTAGTCGGCGAACTCCGCGACAGTGAACTCGCCGCCGTTGTCGGTGCGCAGCACCCGGAGCTCACGGCCGCTCTCCTCCGTCGCGGCCAGGATACGCTTGACGGCGTTCGCGACAGCATCCTTAGACGGCAGCACGACGGCCCACATGAAGCGGGACGCGTCGTCCACCATCAACAGGAAGTAGCGCCGCCCTCCTAGAGTCGCCGGCGTCACGGGTCCACAGTCCACGCCGCGGTCGCCAGCTCCAGCCTCTCTGCGCCGCGATGCGCAGCGGCTTCTTGCCGAGGCAATGAGCGTCGGTCTTTGCCGTCGTCGTGGACGCAGTGTCGCAGAGCTGCTCGACGTGCTTGATCACCGACATCCCGCGCACCATGGCCTCCTTGCCAAGCTTGTGAAGCGCCTCGAAGTGGAGGTGTCCGAACCGCTCGTGCCAGCGCCAAGCTTCATCGTCCTTCCTCGCGGCGAGGCAGAGCGGCTGCGCCGTCTCAAGATGGAGGACATAGAGGCGGCTGGTCCGCGGCGCACCTTGACAAAGAGGCGCCCGCGGCGATCCCAAATGCGGAGCACGCCTTTGTCGATCTCCACCTTGGACCCGCCTTCATCAAGCTGGCCAAGACTCATGATGGAGTTGCGCAGTGGCGGGATGTAGTAGATGCCGTGCAGGATGCGGTGCTCGTCGGTCTTCCCTTGGAACACGATCGAGCAGATTCCCTGGATCTCCACCCTTGACGCATCGTCGAACCGCACCGAGCAGCGAACAGAGGTGTCAAGGTCGGAGAAGAGCTCGCGACGGACGGTCATGTGGTGGGTGGCACCGCTGTCGAGGTACCATCCATCTAGCTTGTCCTCACCGGAGCTGGTGTTGAGGAACGCACAGGCTCACGGATCCTCGACGTCGCGCCTAGCCTCGGCCTTGGAGCAGAAGATGTTCTCCGCATCCAGCTCCAGGAAGCCATGGGCGAGGAAGAGAGCCGCCTCGTCGTCATCCACCTCCGCGACGTGCGCTGCACCGCCACGCTCGCGTCGAGGCTGGGGGCAACCTTCGCCCAGTGGCCGACGCAATGGCAGTTGAGGCAGGTGTCGTCGCAGTTCGCCTTGCGTTCGCCACCGGTGACTCCAGCCTTCTCGCCTTGCCCGCCGCCACCACGGTCGCCACGCTCACCCTTTGGCTTCGCTTGCCGCCATGGGACGCCAAATGATGCTCCTTGGACAAACTAGATGAGCCGAAGTCGTCTCCACTCTTCTTCTCCTTCTGCCGAGCGAGCCACTGCTCCTCAGTGTACATTAGCTTCCGCCAACGGTGATCGGCTCGGTGGGAGGTTCTTCCTCGAGATCGTCCACTGTCTTCAGCCTCCCGGTGACCTCCTTGATGGTGAGGTCCTGGAAGTCGAGGAGGGTCTGGATTGCGATCCTCACCGGGCGTATTTCTTCTTGACGGCTCGGCGCGGCTTTTCTCCACCGCCCGGCTCCTCCGTGAGGTCCGTGTCACCATGGCGAACCATCTGCTGCTTCAGTTCGGAGAGACGAAGGGCGAAGTCCTCGATCTGCTCACCGGGACGGAAGAAGAGGTTCTCCCAGTCCTTGCACAATCGCTGCAGCGTGACACGGCGGACGCGGTCGAGCTCTGCGATCCTCTGGGCTGCCGCTCCATCTCCTTGACGAGCGCTGGCCTAGCGGTGGTGCTATCACGCTGCCTCACAGCCACCTCGATCGCTCATCAGTGGCTACGGCCTCTATCATGCTGTAGCGCCGAGCGCGCGATCGGCGTCGGGTTGATTGATCACGCCCCTCACGCCGGCGTTCTTGCAGATTAAGCACCGCACGAAGCCTTCATTGGAGGTGGACATGGCTCTCCTCTGCTCTAACCAAACCTAGGCTCTAGATACCAATTGTTGGACAGGTAACAAACTAGACAAGTGGAATTTGATCTGCCAGAGGCCAGAGGGCAGCTTGGCCATAGGCCGCTTCTTTGTATTAATAGAAGTAGCAAACTTGGGATACAAGGTCTCAACTACTACAGCACATTCTACTGCATAAAGCAGATGCTAGCTTGGATGCTAAGGCATCTGAAAACTACTAGACAGTGAATAGTAACTAGCCTAGATAGTGAATAGTAAATAGGTAAAAGTAGATACATTGGGGTATTAGCACTAGGCTTAACCCTCAAAGGCATTTTACTCGCAATGACTACCCTATAAGGCACAGCTAGGGCTAGACAAGGAAAAATATTGAAAGGAACACTCAAATAAGGCAACAGGTTTGGAAGAACCTGCTATGTATTTACGAACCAGGCAACAAAGTTTGCCTATTCCATCTAGTAAGAAGCCAATAGTTGGGTCTGTTGCATCCTGAAAGTTCAGTTAGCAATTAGTATGGAAGGGAACAACGATTTATTTTTTTATTTTATTTTTTGAGATGAGGAGAAACCTCTGCTTTTAGAAAGCAATAGAATACTGGAACAACGATTTATTGAATCCAAGGAAAACATAACATCAGAGTAACTCACAATGTCAACAGTTTTCACTCGAGTAGATTTTGATGCTGCAACCCCCACATGTTGGAAGTACCAAATCACCTCGCATTGAGACAAAGCAAGAGCAGAAAAGACCATCTGCACAATGTACAGACATTATGTGTACATCAATTGTGGAATAACATGATCTTGCTTCCCTCGGTATGAAATCATGAAGATCTTTGAAAGTATATAGAGCCTACTCAAGTCTCATGGAATCTACCAAGGTCATCCTTAGTGCACAGAGAAATATTCTCTGGAAATCCATCAGTAGCTAGTAATCCAAATTAATCACTTCTGCATTTATTTTCTCTTTCTTGTGAATTACCCTTTATTTCGACTATTCATAATACAAATATATAGCGCAATATACTACTGTTTTCCCCTAAAAAAGATATTATATACAGATAAGTTGCCTTACATAGAAGTTGAATTGTTTACAAGTGTAAACGAAAAAAAAAAAGAAGTCTAATATGTCCGACACCCCAGAATAACTGGTAGAAATGTACGGTAGGGTACATCTTTTATCATGGTTATCAAGGCGGTAAGGTGAGGCGTGGTGACTGACTACTGCCTTACCCTTAAGCGACTAAAGTGTGAGGAGAGGCGACGCCTTAAGAATTTAAGGAAAGGAAAACAGTGTACTGCCTTACACTTAGCTCCCTCCCTCCCTGCCGTTCCGCCTCTTCCCAGATGCGCTGCTCTGCTTCCCTCCGCCCCTCTGCTTCCCCTCCCTCACTGCTCAGCACTCTCAGATCAGACAGCCGCTGCCATTCTTGAGGGGGAAGAGCGCGCGGCCTCCCTCCCTCTCCTGCCCTCTTTTTCTACCACGCACTCTCTCGATTTTTCCCGCCATTTCTCTCGCTTTTTCCTGCCCAGATCACCCGTATAGCGCTTGCCACGAGCAATTTGGCACAATTCGGATGCCAAAGCGACGTTTTTTGGACGCCTTGCGGACACAATACGAATCTAAGGCGAGTCGTCTGCTGTGGGCGTCATGCGTGCAGCACTTTGGCGCTTAAGCGGTGCCTTAATAACACTGTTCTTAATCATTAAGTTTTTTGTTACATTATAAATTATAAACATTTTGCGTCCATCAGAAGCTCAAGCATCATTAAAGAGACAAATCTAATGCATCAACTTTGAGGTCTCATTTACAACAATCAAGAAAAGGTAATAGATTAGTAGTTAACGAAATGTGATACTTGGCACTGAACCTGAATATTAGGTGCTAGGAGGCTAGGTTGATCTGTGAAAAATAAAACCATCCTTCCAATTTCCTGCTTAAGAAGAATTCTCCTTTCACGATGCATAGCATCACATGACACTAGTGCTTGCTCATGCACTTCCCTGTAGAGAGTTAACGCAAAACATTAACAAACATCTGAAGAATGACACCGAGTAGATAAAATCAAAAAGTCCAATAAAAAAAAGTAATGACACCAGAAGGGAAAAATGCTAGGTAAAATAGTTCCCAAATTATGAAGTTAAAAGTCAAAAGAACCAACCAAGAATAGGCTATCTGAACTAGTGGCAAATCCAAAAAAGTGAATATGCAGAAAGACTTCAAATTCACACTACAAGGTATTTTGGAGCATAGGGAAAAGTATAGATGAAAAGGCTGAGCAGGACATACGTTAACATTCTCTCAACCTGCTTTGCAACATTGTACTCCAGATCAGCTTCCTTCTGCTTAGTTCGGCCAGATTTAGCCATTCTCTTTGATTCTAGAACTTTTGGAAGAACATAAAGTTGATAGTTTTCATGAAGTAAGATGTACTACACAATGAAAGACCAAATTAGAATAGTGACACCAAAGAATTAATCATGCTACCACATTGTCTTGAATTTTACCTCATCTCTGAACAGAGGAAGTATTAAGTTTTCTTTCAGAACAACCTGAAAGTGACCAAGAAGAAACAAATCAAGGCCAAATCACAAATGACATGCTAGTTGCACTGAGGAATCTAGTTTGGTGAATTTTTACTAATTCTAGTACAGTTTCTTGTAACTGATACATGAAAGATGCTTACAACCAAATCCATCTAAAATTAAAAATAAATAAATGCTTTTAAAAAACTACCATAGCACCAAACAGAGACTTACCAGATACCAACAGAAGACTTCTTATGATAAAATGGAGTGAGAAAACAAGATGTATGTGCCACTATGTTGGTGGATGTAAGTGTAAAGTGTTCATTAAAACCATTATATACACCATAAACTCTTAACTATTCAGGAAAAGAGAATACGAAACTAACAAAAAAAGACATAGGGCATACCATGGCAACATCTATACTGGTCACCCTAAGTAGTTCATCAGGACAAACAAGATATCCTAGAAGAACCCACTCACGGTATGATGTAACATTAGCCAAGTCTTGGGCCCTCTGGAAGGAAACAAAATCACGTTAAATCTCTAAATTATAATACATCTTTATCATGGTGTTGGCATAATAATGAACAGACATTTATGCTCTCATGATTTATCATCTCTAACAGTGAAAGTACTAACCATTGGATGGGCGGAGTTTGTTAGGATGTCTGGATAACGTGGATGAAATGGACTGAGGAAACCTTCGTTCCTTAACTTTTTTGTATCAGTTGAAAGAAAGATAATTGGGCCAACAGCTTCCAGGACCTGAGGAACAAAACATTACAGTCAAAGCACCAAAAAAAAACAATTTAGATGGAAAATCTAAGTCAGATGCTGTAAAGGTAGTAACAACATGCATGTGCAGATGTGCTTTTCAAAAGTGTTTAACTGCTTATCTACATTGTATTTAAATTTATAAATTCATAGCACAAAGCATTGATCTTAATATCATACACCCTGTGAATAAAGATGTGTGGACAATCTCCGCTACACAAGATTCTCAATGCCACATCAAGTGCTCACAAAATCCATAGAACATACTCGAATCCCATCTTTTATATTAGTAATAAATATAACAGCAGAGATAAGGTATCGGATACAGAAGGAAAAAAGCTTGGCAATAAGAACGACAAGTAAAACAAATGGAAAAAATCACAAAACTATTCAAGCAACAGACTGTAAGAAAAATAATTAGCCCTCCAAATATACTCAATGCTAATGCAAGTATGCAAAACTGACCCTAAGAAGCTTTTTCTGCAGCCTATTTCATGATCATAGTACTGAATGATGGGAGGAAGTAGCCTAGCATGTAACACATTTAGGATTTGAACACTCAAATAGCATATGAAGCTTGATTCCTAATTAAGTAGTTATTACTACTGCAATGAAGAATGACATGAGTACCACCTCTCCAATTCTTGGGCTCACAAAATTAAGATCTTCATGCAACCCCTTGATAGGTGGATCATAAGAGTCCACAAATTGAACCAATCTGTGTATAGATAAACAATAGTCAGCGAAGAAGAATCTATAGAGTAGACTGGATATAACAAAAAAAATAATTGATAAGGTAACAATAAACCATTCATGACACAAAAAGAATATCACAGGGATGCAGTTAAATAGTCCCTCTGGTCAAAAATACTTGATATTTGACTTTGCATGGCCTTCGATGCACACCTTTGACCACTAATTTCTTCTAGATTGTGGCCCTGTTTGTTTGAGCTTTTGGGCACTTTTAGACTACTAGCTTTTGGACTTTCCAAAAGCCAAACAGCTCTCATAAGCCAAAAGCCCAAAAGCTCACTATAATGAGCTTCTGGCTTTTGGCTTCCGGGAGTTTTTTGGCTTTTGAAAGGTTCAAAAGCTGAGGTCCAAAAGCTTCCAGGAAGCCCAAACAAACAGGCCCTATGTTAGGTAACCTGCTGCTTCCCTTGTGTGAATGCGCAGCAGGTGAAGACGGCGCCGAAAAGGGCTCCCTGTTGTTGCACTGTAGCAGCTGCAGGGGCAGGCGCCGAATGGCTCACCTGCCGCTCTGTAGCCACAGCAAGGGCATGCGCCAAAGTCAGCTCTGCTGTCACATCTAGTCATTATAGCAGCATGGCAGCCTGACATGCCTATGTACTAGGATTAGATGGGTAGAGTTGTATATATAGTTTACCACTGCAACTCAATAAAGAGAGTGAGTTCAGTTTGCCATCTTCTCTGCAGAGCTCCGAACAATGCTGGTGCTTGTGTTGTGTGTGTGTGCTCTGTTCTCCCTCCCGTCTTCTTCCTCTAACCATAGTATGTGGTAGCCAACGACAGTTCGTGGTCGACATCGCTAGTGTGTGCTCAGCAACACTAGTGACTGGTCGGATAACTCCGCGCCAGAGATCAAGGGGCTAACAAGTGGTATCGAGCCAGTACAAAGCGCCGTCGCCGACTAACTCATTGGGCGATGACGTCACGGTTTGAGATTTAGCGACAAGCAGCGCTTCTTGTGGCTGCCAAACACAGACAGAGGTCATTGTGCGCCGCGATGCAGAGGTCACGCCGGCACCGGTTGGCGGCACGCCGACTCGCACCAACTATGGCGAGTGGTCGGTGACCATGAAGGTCAAGTTCGAGCCTGACGGCTCGGAATGCTATTGACAAGGGCACCGAAACGAAGAAGACGACATGTCGGCGTTGGAGGCTATCCGCACGCCGCTTTGTACCGAGTAGTGTGGAGTCGTTGAGGCGAAGAGCTCTCGCCAAGGAGGCGTGGGAGGCTATTACGGCGATGCGCGCGTCGGTTCCGACCACAAGAAAAGAAAGCGACAACCCAGCCTTCAAGCGGAGTATGCCAACCTCAAGTTCAAAGATGGTGAATCGGTGGAGGACTTCTCCTCCGCTTGCAGACGCCATCGCCAAAGTCAAAGAGCCACGGCGTCTACCATCGACGGCGAAGAAGCGATCTCTAACTACCTCCACTCCGTCTTGGCGAAGTACATCCGCATCGCTCTCTCCATAGAGACGATCTTTGAACTTGTCCACCCTCACCATTTAGGATGTGACAGACGCGTCTGCGGGCGTTGGACGGCGCATGGAGCGAGCCACAAAGAACGAAGGATAGCGGCAAGCTGCTGGCGACAGGAGGTGGTAGTCCGCCGAGAGAACTCCAGGTAGCCTCCTCCCGACCCACGATGGCGATGGCAAGCGTCACGGCAAGGCTTCTTCGGAGAAGAAGCGGGTCGACCCCAACGCCTGCCGGCGCTACGGGAAGACGGGCCATTGGGCAAGGGAGTGCCCAAATCGCAAGCAGGAGGAGAAGGCTGAAGCTCATCTGGCGCAGGCTGATGATGATGATGAGACCACTATCCTGATGGCGACGTTCTGTGTACTGCACGACGTTGACGCCGAGGAGAAGAGGTGATGGCGGTGGAAGGGCATGGGAAGGTCCTGAAGGCGGTCAACCTCAACGAACCGCGCGCCCAAGTCCACCTCGGACGTATGGGAGGCGAGCAGGAGCAGCGGTGGTACCTGGACTCCGGCGCCAGCAACCACATGACGAGCTCCAAGGAAGCCTTCTCCGAGATCGATGACGACATGACCGGCACGGTGAAGTTCGGTGACGGCTCACGGGTGGCGATCCGAGGGCGCAGCACCATCATCTTCAGGTGCCAAAACGACGAGCACCGCGCACTAACGGATGTATATTACATCCCGCAGCTGCATTCAAGTATCATCAGCATTGGCCAGCTAGATGAGCGCGGTAGCGAGATACTGATCAAGGACGGCGTCCTTAGGATCAGGGACCGGGAACAACGCCTTCTTGCCAAGGTGAAGAGGTCTCGGAACCGGCTGTACCTGCTCGACTTGAAGGTAGAGCAGCCAGTGTGCCTAGTAGCACGGCACACCGAGGAGCTGTGGCTGTGGCAAGCCCGGTTCGGTCATCTCAGCTTCGACGCGCTTGGTCGGCTGGAGAAGATGGTCCGAGGGCAGCCCCACATCAAGCACGGAGGTGAGCTGTGTGACAGCTGCCTGGCCAGGAAGCAGAGGAGGCTGCCGTTCCCAAAGGCGGCCAAGTATCGCGCGATGGACGCTCTTGAGTTCGTCCACGGCGATCTCTACGGGCCAATCACGCCAGCCACAAATGGTGGTCGGCGGTACTTCCTCCTGCTCGTGGATGATTGCAGTCCATGTGGTTGCAACTCCTGATGAGCAAGGACGAGGCGGCAACAGTGATCAAGAAGTTCAAGACGCCCACGGAGGCAGAGCGGCAAGAAGCTCCGCGTGCTGAGGACTGATCGCGGCGGCGAATTCACTTCGATGGAGTTCGCTGCGTACTGCGCGGATCAGGGTGTGGTGCGATACCACACTGCGCCATACTCGCCACAGCAGAATGGCGTGGTGGAGCGGCGGAACCAGACGGTGGTCGGCATGGCTCGATCCATGATGAAGGCCAATGACATGTCGGCCAGGTTCTGGGGTGAGGCGGTGACCACGGCAGTGTTCATCGTCAACTGCGCACCCACCAAGGCCCTGAAGGGCAAGACGTCGTTCGATGCTTGGCATGGGCGCAAGCCGAGCGTGTCCTTCCTCCGGACATTCGGCTGCATCGGCCACGTCAGGAAGACAAAGCCAGTCCTCACCAAACTAGAGGACAGGAGCACACCGATAGTGTTCCTGGGCTACGCGGAAGGTACCAAGGCGTACCGGCTCTACGACCCACGCGGAGACAAGGTGCTTGTCTCGCGCGACGTCGTGCTCAACGAGGTGGCTTGGGACTAGAACAGTCCGAGCACGGGGAAGCTGGCGGCTTCACCAGCTCCTTCGTCGTCGAGCACTTGGTCATCCACGATGGTGGAGACGCTGGGGAAGAGGTGCCGAGCACTCCGGGAGGGGTGCCGAGCACTCCAGGAGTGGAGACGAGAGGTCCTGCGCAGTGGTGTCGACCACTCCGGGACAAGTGCCAACACTCCGTAAGCGGAGCCGAGAAGTCTTCTTGCAAGGTGCCGACCACTCCAAGATCAATGAGCACTCAACGAAGAGTGCCGAAACACCGCAGAGCGGATGACGAAGTCGTCTGGAGTAGTGCCGAGCACTACAACCGGGGTGCCGAGCACTCCGGCGGAACAGGGAACTCCATCGACGTCGATCGAGTTCGCCTCACCTCCAAGTGACATCACTGAGTTCATGGATGCCTTCCACGACGGTGAGGAGGTGCGGTTCCGCAGGCTGGACGACATCGGCGGCGGCACAGGGCCTCAGGAATGGCGGGACGACTGCTCAATAACTCAGAGCTGTTTCTCGTCAGTGTAGAGGAACCACCCACGTTCGCGCTGGCCGAGAGCGATGGAAATTGGTGACGGGCGATGCTGGAGGAGATGAAGGCGATCGAGGAAAACAAGACTTGGGAGCTCGTCGATCCACCTCCAAGATGCCGTCCGATTGGCCTGAAGTGGGTGTACAAGGTCAAGCGGGACGAGCACGGCGCCATTGTCAAGCACAAGGCGCGCTTCGTGGCCCGAGGCTTTGTCCAGCGCGAGGGCATCGACTTTGAGGAAGTCTTTGCGCCGGTAGCGCGCATGGAGTCTGTCCGATCGCCATCGGCTTTGGCAAAGAAGAAGGATCGGCGCGTCCCATCACTTGACGTAAATCGGCCTTCCTCAACGGCGAAATGGCAGAGACGGTCTTCGTCGAGCAACCTCCGGGTTTCGCTGTCAAGGGAGCGAAGCACGGGTGCTCCGATCGCGCAAAGGCGCTCTACGGTGCTGGCGAGCCCATAAGCGTGGAACGACAAGCTTGACACCACGCTGGGCGAGCTTGGGTTCACGAGGTGCGCAACCGAGCACGCGCTCTACACGCGGCGACGAGGGAAGGAGGAGCTCGTCGTTGGCGTGTATGTGGATGACTTGATCGTCACCGACGCGCGTGCGGAGAACATTGACAACTTCAAGCGCGAGATGGCGGCTCGTTTTCGAATGAGCGATCTCGGCGCTTCTCCTACCTCCCTATCGAGGTGAGACAGGGAAGGAGACGCCACGCTCGGTCGAGCGCGTCGACGCCGAAGTCATTGGAGCGAGCGGCATGATTGAGTGCAAGCCGTGCGTAACTCCAATGAAGGAGCGGCTGAAGCTGACAAAGGCCAGTACCGCGGCGAAGGTAGATGCAACACTCTTCCGGAGCATCGCTCGGGTCTGCGCTACCTAGTCCACACGAGGCCGAGACATGGTGTTCGCCAGGCTACGCGGCCGCTTCATGGAGGATCCTCGAGAGAATCAATTGGCTGCGGTGAAGCGCCTCTCGCGCTTCGCCAAAGGGACGGTGGATCAGGGGATCGTTTTTCCCAAGACCGATGGAAGTAGGCTACAGCTCACTGTGTTCAGCGATGCGGACATGGCGGGAGACATCGACGGACGGCGGAGTACCTCTAGCGTGCTCGTCTTCCTGGATCGCCTCCTATCTCATGGTTGTCGCCAAGCGTAAGGTGGTGGCACCGCCCACGCGTGCGAGGCGTAGTACGTGGCGGCGGCCACGCCGGGCGTGCCAAGTTGTGTGGCTCGTGGTCACTGCCGGACGAAGCTAACCGTGTGGAAGCTCACCCACCAAATTGATGGTGGACAACCACCCGCCATCGCCCTCGCGAAGAATCCGGTTCTCCGGCCGAGCAAACACATTGACGCCAAGTTCCACTTCCTCGTGGATCGGACGATGGAGGGCGATTGTCATCGAGTTCGTCGAACCGGTCGGCAACTCATCGACGTCCTCACCAAGCCGCTCGGCCGCCTCTTGACTCACGGAGTCAAGAAGATGATCGGCATGGAGGGATTGAAGGGTTAGCGCGGATTATGGGAAGAATTGTTAGGTAACCCGCTTTGCCCCCTTGTATGAATGCTTGCAGCAGGGAAGACGGCACCAAAAGGGCTCCCTCATCATTGCATTGTAGCAAATTGCAGGGGCAAGCGCCAAATAGCTCACCGCCGCTCAGTAGCCACAAAGCAGGGCGGGACGCCAAAGTCGACCTCACACACATCTAGTCACTATAGCAGCATGGCAGCCTGACATGCCTATGTACTAGGATTAGATGGGTAGAATTGTATATATAGTTTGCCACTGCAACTCAGTAAAGAGAGCGAGTTCAGTTTGTCATCTCCTCTGCAGAGCTCCGGCCAACGCTGGTGCTTGTGCTGTGTGTGTACTCTGTTCTCCCTCCCGTCTTCTTCCTCTAACCATAGTGTGTGGTAGCCAACGACAATTCATGGTCGGCATCGCTAGTGTGTGCTCGGCAACACTAGTGACTGGTCGGATAACTCCGTGCCGGAGATCAAGGGTCTAACACCCTATATCCTTAAAATCCTTCAGATTTATGAGATGTTGCAGGTGTTTTTCAGGACGATTCTACACATATAACTTAAATGTTTCCAAACTAAACAATTAAAAGTTATCGATGTTTGTACTTTATATAAGGTTTAGCTAAATCTTGTCTGAAATGGCATTTTTTTATGGCCCGAGAGAGTAGTAAATGCACAGGCTACAGTCTGTGGTACGGTACCACTCCAGATATAAACAATAATACATTGAAAACATGCAACAATGATAGTGTTTAAATATAAAATTCTTAGAAGAGCGATTAAGATAACTATATTTGTATCTAGTGTTGTTCAGGATGGTCATAGTGGTTAGTGGTCATGTTACTTGCTAGTACGGACGCTACTGTAAGGTCTCCCCTCCACCCCCCCCCCCCAACCCACCCACCCACACTTTGTGTGCCCTTTGTTCTTTTTTTTTTCTTTTCCTTGTACCCGGGAGGGGGTTCTTCCTCTCCCATTGTACTGTTTCCTTCTTAATGAAATAACGCGTAGCTCTTCTGCATTGTTCGAGGGGAAAATATATTTATATTTATCAATAACATAAGTGCCAATACTTAAAAATCAGCATACTCGGGCTTACAGACTGTTGGCCTTCAATTTCTGAATTATGTTTTCAATGCACGCATATTTGTATTTTCATTTTAGCAATAATCAAGAATAATATTAACACACATGATTAACTAATAAAGAATGATCTATATTTGTTTTCATGCAATTTTATAACACACCAGCAACTGGCATATAGAAATCACAAATTACGATGAACAATATAATCATAGTATTAAAAAAGGTTTTAAAAGGTGGAAGCAACTTTTATTTTCCAAAGGTAACGCCATACCGGTGATAAAACTCACAATCACGACCACCCTTTAGCATTACGTGCAAGATGTTGTAAACCTGGAGGATCATCTTTCTTGGCATCTGCAAACAGAAGTTCAGGTAGGACATTATTTTGGTAAAAGTGGAAAAACTACTATTTAGAGTAGTAATATATTTCGAATATAATGAAATTAAGAACATAGTTACCTTGTCAGAGAGATTCACTCGGACAAATGAACAAAACAGATCCATAAAAGAATGAAGAATTAAAGAGTTCTGGTGTGGCTGTGAAAATAATGCAAACATAATCAATTATGCAGACAATAACGGCATGCCATTTCAATCAAGACCAAGAGATCTCTTACCAGCAATGTTATGACCGTGCTGCTCAAATCCAAAATAAGTCGCAAAGCTTGTTCACGAAATGCCAGCAAATCAAGAAGCAACTGATGGGATGAAATTGGAAGGAAATCAGCAAAATGAGGAGAAAGGAAAACATCGTCAATGGGAATGAAGGTAATTAACTAAACTAATAAGTCAGTAATTTCTAAATACACTTTTATGGCATAGAAAGACAACGGTTAGTTCAGGGCAGTGCATCACTCAAGCTACGAACTACGGTACCAATTGTTGGCACATATTCTAACAAGCCTTTCGTAAATTGCAAGTACAGCTTTTTTCTCGTTCATATGGTAAGCTCGATACTCATGCAGAATTAGGGACAGCAAACTTATGCTACAAAAAAAAAAGGCTGACCATGCTAGCATGTGCAGCCTTCACGGATACCATATCTGATGAACCCAAGCTTGGAAAATGTATCAGGTGAAATGACAAATGGAAAATGAGCCAGTGCAATAAGTCACACAGAATTAGAGCAGGTGAGGTTCTATGTCATATCAGTTCAACAAAGATGCTCGGTTACTGAGAGCCGAATATAGTAAAACTCATAGGTTAACTAATGCAACCATTTTCCACAATTTGGACAGACTTGGGTGGTACCATACACATATTGTTTTGGATTGCAACACGTTTTTCATTAACAGAAAGAGGGGGGCTTTGCCCGAAAGGTTCAGATTTCTTTATATGGTTGGCACATACCAGGATCCACTGCTCAAGATTGTGCATGTAACCTTCAGCATTCTCGTTTAAAGCATCAAGAGCAAACTTATCTACCTGCAAAGCATCAGAGTGATTGACTCGCCAGTCACCACCATATTAAACTAAATGAATTCTAGTAAGGGAGCCAGAAGAGCTGTGAACAGCTAAAGAAAACTGAATCCTTGCCCGTTCCAGCTGCAGCTTGTTTGGATGCTCAGGAAACTTTTTTGACAGCGTGATGCAAATTTTTGGGAAATTTGGAAAGACACCAGCTTTCCAAAATGAATCTGAGAATGTGTGCGTGTTTGGATCTGGATAGTCCAGGATGCTGTTCAGCCGGTACATTTTGGCCAGCAAGCCTTCCGCAACCTTTGACAGTTGAACCACCGGCTCCATCTGAAGATGTTTGTGGCCACTGGCAGACGAGCCTTGCGGCCCATCAACACCCATGTTCCTCCAGGTTGCCAATGCCGAAGGAATTGGTTCTTCAACACTTAGATACTCGGACCATCGGGACATGCCACCATCCATGTCTTTGCTTTTGAACAAAACATGGGTCATCTCTTCCTTAAGTAGAGAACAGCTGCCTCGTCTTCAACTGCACTGCAAGTACGGACACATAAGTTGAGGAAAAGCATACACTGCCAATATACGCATAAGTTAAATTGCAACGAACGACATAGTCAACCTACATCAGCCCACTTCATGCCCTGGTGAACAAAACAGGCAATGAAATCACATTTTAAAACTACAGGCAAGCCATCGGTTACCATCGAAATATGCTCACTAGTAGCCTAATGGATAAATGAAGTGGTTTAGAATTAAATAAAGCATGGAAGAGGAACAGCGCTGTAGGGAGCTTGAAACAGCAAACACAACCTATGGTCACTATGCTTTTACGCATGTGTCAAAGTAAACACCCTAATTTTAGCGGCATTGACGCTGCCTTATGTTCAGCAGAAGCGGCTGCCTTTCCCCACCAGTGGGGTTGATACTGTGATTCACTACTAAGCCCTTCCCGACACCGCCCGGAGCAACCAACCATTGGAATGAAGGTCTGTCGTCTCCTTCCTCTTCCCCATTGGCCGTTGGTACGGGTTCCAGTTCGGTCGGATCTGAGGGAGAGAGTCAGAGTGAGGAGTCCTCGCCGTGCGCCGTGTGGATCTGGGCCGCCAGTCAGTAGGCCGTCGGGACGGCGCCGCTCGGCCTGGGCTTGGCCGCGGGCGTGGGGTCGCGCCGTCCAGCCAGCTAGCGCGGCTCGACTGCTGGACCGCTCGGCCGCACGCACGTCGGCGCCGACTGCGAATTTGGAACAGCAATGGCGCCCCCTGGAGCCCACTAGCGGCGAACGCACGCCAAACAGCGCTGGAAATGGGAATGCACGCAGGAGCGCACCGCGCACCCGAGGAGCGAGGAGGTCGGAATCGAAGGAAGGATAATTCGCAACTGAACACGGGTACTCTTGAAAGCAGATGAGCAAGCTGAAGCGCCTAAATCGACATGGAACCCGGCGGCATTTCACGGCGGGGATTGCTTGGGAACACGAGCATCGGCACACACCCCGGGCCTGGCGGAGAGCGAGCAGCAGCAGCAAGGAGACGAGCTCACCTGCGGGACGGACGGTAGCGCGGATTCGGAGGTCGACCCCCCGGGGCTCGCTCTCGTTCAGCGCGGGGATGTCGGTGCCATAGCGCGGGGAGGGAGGGAGCGACAGCGACGGCGGTGGCGAGGCATCCCTCTCGGTCGGACCCCGTCGCCTCGACGTGACGGGAGGGAGGGAGGGAGGGAGTGGGAGGGGAGTAGGCGACGGAAGGCGACCGGAGCAGTCGAGGACGGATGCGGTGGTTCGGAGTGCCGGATTCGTCGTTACGCCTACCCGGCCCCACTCTCGTGACGCTGCGCGGTGGGGCCCACTTCTTCCCGCGGCCCGGTGGGGCTCCCTGCTGGCTGGCTAGCTGGCTGGCTGCTGCAGCGGACGGAGCGGAGTGCCCGCCCGCGAGTCGGCGACAGAGGCTTCGCTGGACGGCGGCTGTACGCCTGTACCCGGGAGTTCGTCGACCAACGGCGGCCCGCCCGTCCGTCCAGCGTGCGTCGACGCGATCAGCAACCACGACGAGGACCACCATATTCTGGTCCCTCAACCCGAGCGAGGGAGGCATCAGGATTAACTGTGAGAGGCTTTTACTTTATAAAGTCGGTAATTATTCATGAGCCATAAAAAAAGTTAAGTTCTCACGTATGTCACAGCTCTTAACTCTTTTTTTCTTCTACGTTACTTACGTCATATTTGGCTCTAATAGTGTCAATGCGGATGTGAAAAGTCGAAAATACCATCAGGTCTAAATATGTAATTAATTTTTTTAGCATCTTAATGATCTCAAATGAAAAAACTCAAAGCTAAAAAATTTTGATCTCGTCGAGATCTACAATATTTTTATAAAAACTATCTTCATTTGATTCCGTAAAAAAAATATGATTTTTCTAAGACATTAATAATATCAAATCATATTTTTTTTACAGAATTAAATGGAGATAATTTTTATACAAAAATTGTAGATATTGTCGAGATCTACAACTTTCTAGTTTTAAGTTTTTTTCATTTGAGGTCATTAAGATGTCCAAAAAAATTAATTGCATATTTAGACCTGAGGGTATTTTAGACTTTTCACAACCGCGATTTGACACCGTTAGAATCAAATCTGACGGAAGTGACGTGGAGGGCAACAGAGTTCACAGCAGTGGCACCAGTAAGAACTCAACTTTTTTAATGACTTATAAATAATTACTAACTTTTATAATGACACACAGCTAAAAGCCTCTAACTGTGAATCCAGTGTAGTCGCTGTAATTTTTTTAGGCTTTTACTTATGTGCCATTATAAAAGTTGGTAATTACTCATAAAGCATTAAAAAAGTTGAGTTCTCACAGGTGCCACTGCTCTGAACTCTTTTGCCCTACACGCCACTTCTGTCAGATTTGACTCTAACGTTGTCAAACTGCGGGTGTGAAAAGTCAAAAATACCCTCAGGTCTAAATATGCAATTAGCTTTTTTAGCATCTTAATGATCTCAAATGAAAAAAACTCAAAACTAGAAAGTTGTAGATCTCGTCGAGATCTATAATGTTTTTATAAAAACTATCTTCATTTGATTCCAAACAAAAAAATATGATTTTTCTAAGACATTAATAATATCAAATCATATTTTTTGTTCAGAATTAAATGAAGATAATTTTTATACAAAAATTATAGATATTGTCGAGATCTACAACTTTCTAGTTTTGAGTTTTTTCATTTGAGGTCATTAAGATGCTCAAAAAAATTAATTGTATATTCAGACATGAGGGTATTTTGGACTTTTCACAACCGCGGTTTAACACCGTTAGAGCAAAATCTGACGGAAGTGGCGTGGAGGACAAAAGAGTTCACAGTAGTGGCACCTATGAAAACTCAACTTTTTTAATGGCTCGTAGATAATTATCAACTTTTATAATGGCACACGGGTAAAAGCCTCTAATTTTTTTTGTGCAGGTATGGGTATTATATTTCCATTAAAATAACATCTCTATGCTTGAGCTGGAGCTGCTTTTTACAACTGTATAGGGACCATTTTGGCATAGCTTCTAGAGAGGTTTCATACAAAGTTTAAAATCATGAAATTTTTTTTTTCAAAGTATTTATGCGATTATAGTGACGCTATGATAGATAACGTTTTTATAGAAAATACATGGAAAACATCAGTGATTGATGAAAAAAAATGGCAAATATGAATTTTAATGAACACAAATATGTTTCCACAAGTCTAGGTAACATTACTAAATACCAATATGACATTACAACATGGTTTATGAAAGCTTAATTGTCCAAAATATCAAATTAGTAGCAAATGATAACTGATAATCTAGTCTGAGATGGAGTTCTGAGAGTCAGATTGAGAACATTTGTCACTTCCAGACTGACGATGCATGTTGACATCTTGATCGTCATCATTTTCTGTATCACAAGATGAAGCAGCTACAATCTCCGGCACAGATTGTTTGCCATCATTAATATATGTGATCTTCTTCACCCTCTTCTCGGGGAACTCTCTTCCTTTTACCATGTTCTGGTTCTGCTGGTGCAGCCTCTTGTTCCGGTACTTTCTCACCTTTAGCTTGGGGGTCTTTTGGTTCTTCTTGTTCATCATCTGCTGCAAGTGCAACTCCATTGATAAATTTATTGTCATCGCCTTCTAGAATATCTACAACTTGCTTCTCAATTGGGTCCTTTGTCTTATTCTCTCTTTATGCTTCACCGAGTTAAATTACATACACAAGGTCACTCATCCTGTCATGAAGCAATCTGCTCATTTTCTTTTGAGTGCACTGTGCTTGCTCCTTTTGAGCAACAACTTCTTCCGAGTGGACTTGCGTAACCTCTCCATAGGGCCACCTTTGGAGCTACTTATGCTTCCGGCTCTCCCTGAGTGAACAACAAAGAAGACATAATTACCATCATCTTCTTCACTTGACGCTTCTCCCTGAATGATCCAAGTTAACTTCATCTCTTGCCCTCTTGCATTCTTTGGTTTCATTGGTTTTGGGCTTCAGTGGACTTAGCAGTCGCTGCCAATTTCACTCATATGGCCTGTTGGAATAGTGCCGCTATTTAAAATGCTAAGCTATGCAACTTAAGCGGCGCTTATAGCGCAGACAATCCACTAGCTGCTACGCCGCTATAGCCCGCTATTTTTCTCTTTGGTTTCATCTCTAGTTTATGTGGTTTTCTTAAAAGAAGCCCTACCAAACACTCATAGCCCTGTTCGCTTAGCTTATAAGCCGTACTTTTTCAGCCAATGAATAGTATTTTTTCTCACAACAAATCACCAACAAGATTTCAACCATGGCTTATCGTACCAAGCTTAACAGCACATATATCGTGAAGTTAAAACCGGATAAAAAAAAAAAAGGTGGTGCCGTTTTGGCCTAGAAGGCAAAGTAAAAAAAAAGTGTCTTTTCTGGCTTCACAATTTTTGGAGAATTCAAAGCCCACCAAAGAGGACTACGCATTTGAGATGAGCCATCCAGAGATTTGCTGCTCCACGCCCAGTTTAGAGTTGTTGTGTTTTGCAACGCTCTCAATTTGGAGTTGTTATGTTTGGTAGGGCTTCATGCATCTCTATCGTAAATCTCAACTATATAGAGCTTTTCCAAACAGGCTTTTATATCTAACTACTTTTTTTTGGCGTTACAACAGAAGCAAAAAAAGTCCATGAAATGTTTAAAATTGTTCAAAAATATTCATCATCAAAATCAAAGACGTAGAGGGTTCATGTCTATGTGTTAATAGATGTTTTACATGCAATGTTTTCTACGGTTTACAAACAAAAATGTAAGAGAAAATGAAATACGCCTGTTGTTGGTGTGAGCACGCTTTTCAGGTGTAGGTCTCCTCCACTATATGCACTCCGAGTGCAACGTCGGGCTAGCTCAACAGTTCCAGGATCACACGTGGGCTTCTCGTTGATGGACGCTATAGCCTCCACCACCTTCTTGGTTGAAGTTCTGGCCCTTGCCGGAGGTGC